TAGGGATGTTGAACATCTTTTCTTGTGCTTATTGGCCACTTGTATGTCTTCTCTGGAGAAATGTCCATTCTGTTCTTTGCCTATTTTTTAGCTGGTTTGTTTGTTTTTTGTTTTTCAGTTGTATAAAGTACAGATTCTTGGATTACAGACCATGTAACAATGATAACCATGACTTGTAGACTATTAATTAACCGAAAACTGGCCTACCCACCCTTCCCTCATTTCAAGCCCAAGGTTTTAAAGTATCATTTATATCGATGTGTATCTGCAATCTCATTTCAACACCTTGACAATCATCAGGTATTTCTGTAAAAAGGCATCTGTACAAACTGTAGCATCTGTTTAGAAGGGAATCCAGAGAGGGAATCCATACAACCATCACCACTTACTGGTACTAGGGTGTTGGAAGTCTGGCAGCTGGTCTCAGTTTGAATATTTAATGTCAGTTTGGACAGTGGACCTGAAACACTAGAACCCAACCCAAGATTTCCATGTTCTAATTATCTTCCAACCACTCTTGTGCTAAGCTCTACTTGGCTTCCCTTACTGGCACTTCAGTTCTGCAGGCTGTACCATTTTGAGGGAAAACAGGGTGGCTCTCTGCATAAAATGCCATGGTTTATGAACAGTAAAGCAGCTTTGTCTGCTTTACCAGGGGAAAGCTCCAGACTTTCTCAGGTATCCCTCCAAGTTTTCCAAATAGTTCTGAGAATCCTGAGAAGCAGGTACATCTTGTGTTCTCTAGAAACTGTTCTCTTAGAATTTTTGACTTCACCTTGTACCTCTAACACTCTTTAATTCTAGAGCAGCATGTTTTCTGGAAAGTGTCTGCCCAAGCTTTCACGACAGCTGATAATACTACCAGTGCCTGCATCGAGGCTGCAGAGACTCATCACAAACACATGTTGCCTTGGTCGTTGGCTTCAAGGTTGCTGACACCTTGCACTTAACGTCTTATTCTTCTAACTTGTATTGCTCTTTTATAAAATCCCCCTTATCACAGATCAGGACTGAGCCCTGTGTCCATGATCCAGCGGCTGTCTGATAACACGAGTGGCCTTTAGAGCCACCCTACTGATGTGGACACATTGCTGTCTGTTCAAAGTTGTCAAAAGGAGTGCGCAGTGCCTAGGGTGAGTTTTCCCAAACCAGGATACTCTTATTTTCTCCCATATTAAAAGATATCCTGTTGAGTCCACATTCTTCCTCCATCATTGCCAGCTGTGAATACATCTCAGGGTGAGCACACAGACTGGGATCCTACTCCATGATTTTGAAAAGAAAAATACTATATTTCAGTTACAGTTATTCATCCACTCATTTTTCTCTTGAGATGAATCTAGCACAAAAGTACTTCCATGTTTTAAATATCAAAATCTAAATTTTATTTATCCAATGAGAATATTCCAACATATTCTGGCATTTCATCATAAAATTCTTTGCTTTGCTTTTTAATAGGTTTACATATACATATTAACACATTCATCTCCAAATCCTCCTAGGGAGATTGCTGAACTAGAGGATTGAATTGAGATTGGAGACTTCTGGAATAAATGAAAGAACAGCTACTAAAGGGTAATATGATACATTTATTATTCTGCGAGGCTCCTCTGCATACTATTCTAACAAACGCCTTGGGTGAATAAGAAACCAAAGCTATTCTTTATAACACTGGGACCCACAGATGGGGGATGGGAAAAGTGCTGTGTACATAGGAAAAATATTTAATTTTTTGATTGGCTTTAAACTGTATTACAGCTGAGAATGGGAGAAGCACCTATGATTAATTTAACAGATCCATTAGTGAAAGGACCCTTAGAATCTGTCAGAACTTTTTATTATATAAAAGGGAAATTTCTCAGATGGGAAAAATGACTTGCTTGAACTCAAATCATAAGAGCCAAATGTCACTTGTTCATCATCTTGTGGCCAAACAACTTTATGCAGGTTGTTCTGAATCACAGTTATTATCCTTGGACTGTTTGTTAATGGTTGTTACTGACCATTAATGGTCTGTGATATTTACATTCCAAGGGACTAACATTTTAACATGTAAAATAACCTTGTACCATAGGAAGAGGAAAGTTTCGAGGGTAAAATCAACCCTAAGGCCACCAAGTAAACTCAGTGTGCAGGGGTTCTTAACCTAAGGTCCTTAGAAGGGCTTTAACCTGCCGGGCGTGGTGGCTCATGCCTGTAATCCCAGCACTTTGGGAGGCCAAGGCAGGCAGATCACCTGAGATCAGGTGTTTGAGACCAGCCTGGCCAACATGGTGAAACCCCGTCTCTATTAAA